CCCCCCTCCTCCTCTTCCACCTATTTTTGTTGCTGTTGCTTCATATTCATTTTGCCCCAACATAGGAGCTTGAAAACTTATGGATAAAAAACCCCCACCAATACCAGCAACACTTACTCTCCATTCTTAAATGAGAAATGACAGCTTCTTTGACCTCCTATCGAGACCTGAACATAATTTAAGCAAGCATGCAATTTCCAGGTATGTAAGAAACAATTCTAAGGTAACTTTCGAAATAAGGGCAACACACTAGGAACAAAAGGGATAGTGAATGTATTAAATATTATACACATTATATATATATAATGTATTCGGACTACAAAACAACGAACATATTGTGCACATTTTCTGAATCACAAAACCATATTTTCAAGTTGAAAAGTTCGTATAAAGGAATAAAAGGACCAAATGCGGCAGCCTCTAGGATATTTAGATTCAACTTGATGAATACTTGAAGCCAAACGTCTTGTTGTCTTGTTTAAGTTCTTTGGTGACTTGTCGCCTTGAGTTCGTAGTTATTGATTTTTTTAAACCAAACTATAGTCTACATCGGTCACAGGTCCCACAATGATTAATTAACTTCACTGAAGAGAGGAAACACAGCGATTCAACTGCTTCATTGACATGCTTCCAAATAAAAATAAGAACCGAAAAAAACCCATTTTTCAAATCGTCCATCAAAGTGTCAAAGGCATGTCTTTTCAAAAGAGCTGTCAGGGTTTCCGAGAAGTAGAAGAGATTGTGATATCAGAAAAGAATGCTTAAAAAAACAACAGAAAGTGATAAAAAGACAGGTTCAGAAAGGGCATTTGAAAAAAAACAACCCGACTGCGTAATTCAACTTGAGATGAGGAAAGATGCTTGCTAGTTAGGAAATTAAACATTTTTTTCGATTTCTATCTTATCTGCATGCACACTACATACTAGACTTCTGTGACAGGCTCTGTGGTAACTGAAACTAAAAGAGGTACATTTTAAATACAGCCAACTAAACTATTTAGAGCCGGTTGTTGAAAGCGAAGGAACATACACTGTCAAGAGCAATAATAGGGAACGATAGATGACGTAATAGTTTCATTTTTGCATAACTCTGAGTGTTGATATATTTTTGTTAAGTATTTAAACAAATCTTTAGTCATATTCATGATGCTAATATTCTCTCTTTTTTCTTTTTGTGAGGGCTTAATAAATTGTCATTCTCTTTCACTTGCACTATGTCAGCTGTGACAGGGTCGACCAAATTGACGAGAACTAAAAAAAAACACACTTTTAGAAAGTTCAAAAGAAGAAGAAGATTCAAATAATTCCTGTATTTCCAATATCGTCTACATTTGGTAAGACTAGATCTAATACGCATCTATCTGCTCTATCATCTTCAGTCCATGTATTCCAAGCTTTCATACAGAATTAACTTTTGCCAAGCATTTAAAGGGCGTGCACTTATGCTCAATTAAAAGATAAAACTAATATTCGCTTTGAAATAAAACAATTTAAGTTAATGAGAACGCCCAGGAGGGGCGACCAGATGCAATAACAATTACTATTTGTACTTTAGGCTTTATACTCCGCCTCGCTCCCACGGGAGCAGAAAACTATGTGCCGTATCCAGCTGATTTAATCTTTTGTTCAGACCTAAAGAAACTTATAAATTCGCCAATTTACACACTATACAGTTTGCAGAGAACAAAAGCTTCCTTGGGGCCCAAGCCTCTGCACGGACTGCCAATAGATCGTGACAATCGAAATTGCAATATTATTTTCAGTTTAAGTCGGACAATGGTTGCTAAGGACGCATTTTCTTCCATGGCTGTTCACGGCTAAATCTAGCCGCATGAAGTGATTGAACGTCTGATTTTTGTTAGCGTCATTGTATTTCCCAGACCATGCTGACCAAGAAAATGCCTCTAATATTTTTATTTTTAAAATGTATTTATTTATTTATCTATCTGTCTATCTATCTATCTATCTATCTATCTATCTATCTATCTATCTATCTATCTATCTTCATACGCACACGTACACACTCACACAACACAAACACACACACACACACACACACACACACACACACACACACACACACACATGGTATACTGAATTACAGAATACAGGCTGTTTGATTTCTTGTGAAACTAAATGATATAACATGCATAGCTGAATC